TAACCCCTATAACATAGTGTAATAATTTGGTGGAAATCGCATTCCTGTCCGATGATAAATACTAACTCTCGCAATATCTTCTTCCAAATAAAAGGTCCATTTTACAAATGTTATCACAGTAATATATTTATAGGTCGTAACAATCCCTGCTCTTTCTGTATCATTTCATTTCACTCATTCCAGTTATGTTTTGTAAATTTATGTCCCCAAATATTAGGTCGTGTTTCTGACAGCGTGGTTTAGAAGGTTATATTTCCGTTGTGGTTACGTCTGTCTTGCTAAAGCAATAACCGCCTTCTTACTTTCCTAAATAAATGTCAATGATTTAAACGGGATTATTATTGCCGCAGGGGCGCCCTCTACTTTTCATTCTCCTGTTCACCGCAAATATACCAAACCGAGCAATTAGTGTCAAAACTAACCGAAAAATGACGCTCGCTACGACGGAGACGTTTTTATTAGTACACGGGCGAAAGACCACACACAAAATTAGTTGCACAAAACTTCCTTCCGATTTACATACGTCGTCCACGACAAAATTATCAACGTCACACTTGGTTTCGAAAAAAGGCGCACGCTGCGCGATCCAGATATACATTTAATAGATAAATTTTGTAATATTTCAAAGTAAGCGACTCTGTAGTTTCGAAATTTTGGATTTTGAGCCTGTCGATTCGCGTATATGTCGAGGATGTGCGTCGCGACACAATTAGATGAATCTCGGCGTAAAAGCTCCTTTACACGTTTTTAAACGGCGAAGTGACAAGAAGTCAGTCCCCTCGGTTTAATTTAATCAGTAGCTGAATGAGCTAAGTTTTCATTTATTTTTATACTTTGTGACTTCTTTCTTATTGCTTCTGGAGGTGCAATTGTATCTCCTCTTATCCTATTTAGTCATTTATATTGCTTTAATTTGCGCCGTTTATTGTGCAATCAAACTGGTTTGTGTGAAATAATTTAATTAAGAATTTCACTTGGATATTTCGCGCTATTGTGTCTCGGCGAACATATGTTCAAGTTTGTATTGCAAATATCAGGATTTATTGGTCGCAATTTATCAGATTCCCTGGGAAACAAAGGAGAGATCCCTATGTGAACCCTATTTAGATTTTCAGAGAGTTCGAACAGAGCGAGATAGTTTAAATTTAAAAGTACAAAGAGGGTCGAAAGAATGCAGCGATATTTTAAAATGTTATCTCGATTGGAAGTATCGGACTTGGTGCTACAATGTATGTAATATGTTCGCTACGCCAGCTTAGATATACTTGTTAGCCTAGCTGTGAAGGCGGCGCAAGGCGGAGCTTCAGAAGACGGTCGAATGTGAAAGCGACGCCGCCGTCGGGACGTCCGATTGCAAAGACGCCCGTTCAACTTTTACGCTAAATTGCTCGAAAGCACAACCGACACGCCGCTCTCCACACGCCATTTTACCAACCACCGCAGACGACACACCAAATCCGGACAGATATATATACGTATCGATTACTAATAACATATCGCTATACCCGCAAGGATCGATACTCGAAATCGCCATAAGACTGCGAAAAATTTCGCCATTTAATCACACACAATTTAATCCGGTATAAATAATCTCTGCATATTTTATACGTAGATAATCTTTATCATATTAATGTCACGTTTAAATGTTCATTGTGTATAAATACTACCATGTATGTATACGGATATTTATAGGTATGAAAATATTGATATCCGGGTCTAAAAATGTATCGATACACATTTGATTTCTATAATTGCTGCATCGCAGCCCTTCTCTAAACCGCACTTTCCGCTCGGGAGCGAAAGGGGTGATTCATCTATTACGGTACTCGTCAGAATTATATACACGAGTGACATATTTGTAAAAGTGCAATGCTCTGACACGAGCATGAATGCAACTGCAGGGTCCAAGTCAACTGTCACAAACTGCATATATGACTTCCCCTACATGCATCCCCTATTTCATATCAACTTCATGTAATAACTTGTTAGCGTTTGTCACTTTTGCCATTTCTCGTTCGACGGAACTAATTTGTGTCAACCCGATTACATCACAATGGGATAAAAGCTGAACCCTGCTAAACACCTCCTGGTCACTGCATCTCCTTCGCGACATAATAAGAAAATCTTATTTCTTTTGGAATTGTCTGGCAGCGGCGTTATTACCCTCAAGCATACTATCATCCAGATTATATTAAAGAATAGGTACCGAAGTAACCCTTGAACTGCTCTAAGCTTCAACAACGTATTTCGCGAAAAGCAATTTCCAGGTTAGTTCGCGGTTGACGATGTTTGAGCGCTCTCTGTCCGACTAGTGGGAGTTTACATATCGCCTTCTCTCTCGGGTAGATTGCTGTAGATCGTGGCAATTTGCCGCAAAGTGGTCCGATAACACTAGGGCTCTGACATATGGTTACACATGCTGCTAAGAAGATACGATATAAACAAACACTTCTTTGCATATCTTATGTAGCGGGATAATAGGGATGCCGGGAGGGTAGTTTTCGAGACCATTATGACATAATAGGGTATTGAGCGCCTTATTACAACGTCCTTTAAGATGTATTACCTTTTTTGTGGGTTATTATTTAAAACATGTAAATTAACTCGATCTATTTGTTGGAATTATTTATGGATGCCTCTCTCACGACTACCGGGAAAGGGTCCAACCCCACGTCCACAAAAAATTACTTTTCAATGTATCGTTACGAACGAACGTAAACATACACGTCCTGCTCATTTTCACCTCAAAACGACACAATTCGTCTAATATAGTCGTATTTATACACACTGTATACATACAGAATAATCTATACGCTGCATACGAATATGCGATAATCAATATTCTATACAGTACACTTCCGTATTGGTAATGCGTCCGCGAACAAAAAACTGCCGCGTATTGACTCTTCGTATGGAATACTGCAAAAAACCGGCCCGACTTCGACTTACGAGAAAATCATTAAGTAGATCCGACTGAGCCGTCCTCCCTCCCATTGCACTAATGCATTCGTTGATTCGATTAGAAGAAAATCAGAATGACCGGTTCCGGTTGAGTTGTCAGAAAGGGAGGATGAGCCGGGCCGAGACCGAGACACTCATACACGCGTTTAGTTTTTATGGCGGCATTTAGCGAGATCACATTCCGTGCATTTCCACCACTTTATCCATTGTCACAAATCGCAGCTCCGTCCCCACAATTACCTAAGTATTTATTGTCTCAGTCGCGACAATAGGAAAGGCCACATTTCAAAATAAAACCAGGTATTTGCGGTGCCACGCTGAACGGCTTACCGCTGACTAGCTATAAATTTAATGTGATTGGGCAATATGTCGCTACCATATCTTAGAAGCTGGCTTTCTCGCCGGAATTCGGCTTCGGCCATAAAGGATAGGTGCTAAACAGGAGGATCATCAACGATGCACGACGGAATTTTGGGAAACAGATAAGCCGAGCGGGCGGTTCGTGGAACCTCAAAATAATAAGGTTTATAATAAGGAGAATACCGTGCACAGAAAACACTAGAACACTACTTAGTTATTGTTGCCTATTTGTTTCGTAGTGTCCGCGCGGGCACCAAGTTTTTTTGCTACGATGATGTCACTGAGGTGCTGGCGTCATTGTAACTGCGGTGGCTAGATTGCATTTATGCTAAGTGCACAAGTGTGAACGATCGCGGACGGTGGTGACGTTAAACTTAAAAATATGAGTATAAATAGTAATTACAATAACTAATACTTGGTGTATGTTCGGGCACCAGTTTTTTGCTACGATGACGTCATTTTGGTAATTCGACTGCGAGAGCGGATGACTATTTCGTTTCCACTGAAATTAATATTAAATCCCTGCGTGCCAGTTTTATGTGTTGTTTTTTGGTGTGGACTCGAGCACCAGTTTTTTAACTTCTAAGACCCTACAGATAACCCTGACGTCCTTTTGACGTCGTAGTTTTCAGGTATGGGGGTGTAGAAATAGTGAAATTGCCACTGTAGTGAAATTAATATTAATGTTGTGATGCATAAGACGAAAGTGCGTTGAATGTGGTGATCCATTAAGAAAAAAAGCCGGTCGTTATGTAAAGAAGTTACGGTAAAGTTGGCGTGGCCCGTGCGAGAGCAATACTTTAAAGTGTAGATAATATATATTTAGCGTCTGGAAGCAAATCGTGTCTCGTTCGTTAGCGTTTCAGGTGGAGCGAGCTGAAAAGAGTAGAAATAAAAGAAAAACAGTGCGCTCTGCTATTGGCCGTAGTCTGGAATTATCCAAGATGGTAGTTTCCGGAAGTGGTGAAGACATAGCGCGGAGCTTGGAAGGTAATAGGCATGTTAACGCGGCAATGCCCGGGCAATTACCATATTTTACGCGGCAAGTAGCGCTAGGTGGCGAGACGGCGCGTTAATCCAGCGGACAGGTATTCCATTAGATCGTCCTCACCCTTCCGCGTTATCTTTATCCGCGTTTTTCCGATTGTTGTCGGCAATATTTTAAAAGTGGCGAGGTGAGGGTGAGTCCTGGGGTGGCGAAGTGTCACCCGTAGCGAGAGTCACAGATGCCTCCTTTTGAACGCCACCTTTTGATCGCTGAGCCGAGCCGATCCGCTCTCGAGCCGATGGTGTAAACGGCAAGGGGACAGCCACCGTAAAAAGTCTGATACTAACATAATTAAAGTACAAGCAGTGTAATTTTACTTAATTAAATTCCCTTCTTTGGGCGGACGACAGAGCGAGCGCCACACGGCAGGGAGACGATATGAACTTTTTCCACCCGATGAACATTAAAACTCGGCATTTAATTTCATCAGAGATCTAAGAGGAGATTTTTGACCATAAAAAGAAGAGACGGTGAGCTCGTTCCGACTCTTGTCAGATCGCGATTCCAGAGGGTTACGTTGAACAGATGGACATTTACTCTTATCTTGTCTACGCGAAAATAAAAACATAAAAGCGTGTCAGGGGAGGATCCGCGTGATTGACGACAATGAGAGTAATAAGGGCATAATTACCGTGGTCGAAGAGGAAGCTGGTCTTCGCTAGAGCGTGGGCGGCGGGAGGCAGACCCGGCACCGAGAACGTGTAAGCGCTGCTCCCGCTGAATCCACCCCCAAACAACGGTCCTACTGCAACAAAGGAACACATCAGCATGCAGTTTGACGGCGCGCGAACGCAGCTCGCTGCACACAACACACAGATATTAAAAAGCACGTATGTCGTTTCACCCGAACGACCCTAGCCGCAGACGCACCCGAAGTGCCTCAGCCACGAAAAAACGTAATTGGCCAAGAACGCGACAAAGCCTCCGCGGCAACATATATACTGCATCTCGACCATCGACAAATCACACAATTCCCGACCATAAATCAATTAAAGCGGGCAAGCCGCATGCCGATCCGATCCAAGAGCTTCCTCTTGTATGTAAAGCAGGAAATCCACGCCGGGACGGTGTCTTCGCCATCCCTGCCGTTCCGACCACTTATCAACCACCGCACTCGTGACTCGAACGAAGATTCCGTGAAATCGTTTGACTTTTTTAATTTCCTACGGCGATAAGCCCGTTCTACAAACAGTAGTGGGAAAATGTCGGCATTTTGAAAACAATTCAGACATAAATAAGTTGTCTGCAGCTTTTCGGTCTACAGAATGCGGGATACACGCTGCCGCTTGTTGCTACACGTGAACACCGGTCGCAGATATGGAAGGAAATAAATTACGGTGCTTTCGAAACATTAGCACTCTTCTTCGACACCAAGAACAAAAAGGGTAGCAGCTGGACTGCTTATTCTAACTCGTGACATAGTTATATACCTTTTTCAACATTTTCTACTCGACAATATCGACTTCATTACGTTCTAGATACTTACTTCTAGATCACTTTGGCACATGGCATAAAAACCATAAGTATATACACTTTTTATAAACGTATTACTTGTCAAAATTCTTCTGGATTAGAATACTATCAATCAATCATTTTTTATTTATGTTACTCTGACTTTATGCCAATCCTATATTCCTGACCGGACAATAATATTTTTTGTAAATTGCATTGATCAATTTTGGAACACTGAAAAAATGTAACTTTTGAAAAAGTCGTCTAAAACTTTTCAATAAATTCGAGGTTACAGATCTTGACGTGCTGATGCCAAAAATATAGCGTGTTTAGGGTCACGGAGCAATATTTTCCGAATATTCGGAATGAAATACGAAAATTTTGGAATTTTTAAAAATCACTTAAAAAAGAATTTCTGGAAAAACGCTTAGAGTTATCGAAGAACAATGACGGGAGTGACTCCTGTGGCCCGAAATGTACACGAAAATGTATTTAGTTCAATTTCGAAAATAGTCAAAAATGTGTCGAAATTTGCATAGGGGCTGAAAATTTCATTTTTGAACAAAGTCATCTAAAACTATTCAATAAATTCCAGGTTACAGATCTTGACGTGCTGATGCCAAAAATATAGCGTGTTTAGGGTCACGGAGCAATATTTTCCGAATATTCGGAGTGAAATACGAAAATTTTGGAATTTTTAAAAATCACGATATTTCAATGGCCGATTCTAGAAAAACGCTTAGAGTTATCGAAGAACAAAGCCGGGAGTAACTCCTGTGGCCCGAAATCTACACGAAATGTATTTAGTTAAATTTCGAAAATAGTCAAAAATGCCTGGAAATTTGCATAAGGGTTGAAAATTTCATTTTTGAAAAAGTCGTCTAAAAATTCTCAAAAAATTCAGCGTTATAGATCTTGGAGTGGTGATTCCAAAAATATGACGCGTTTAGGGTGACAGAGAAATATTTTCGAAATATTCGGAGCGAAATACGAATTTTTTGGAATTTTTAAAAATGACGATATTGCAATGGCCGATTCTAGAAAAACGCTTAGAGTTATCGAAGAACAAAGCCGGGGGTAACTCCTGTGGCCCGAAATGTACACGAAATGTATTTAGTTAAATTTCGAAAATATGTAGTCAAAAATGCCTGGAAATTTGCATAAGGGTTGAAAATTTCATTTTTGAAAAAGTCGTCTAAAAATTCTCAAAAAATTCAGGGTTATAGATCTTGGAGCGGTGATTCCAAAAAATGGCGCGTTTAGGGTGACAGAGAAATATTTTCGAATAATTCGGAGCGAAATACGAATTTTTTGGAATTTTTAAAAATTACCATATTACAATGGCCGATTCTAGAAAAACGCTTAGAGTTATCGAAGAACAAGGCCGGGAGTAACTCCTGTGGCCTGAAACCCACACGAAATGTATTTAGTTAAATTTCGAAAATAGTCAAAAATGCCTGGAAATTTGCATAAGGGTTGAAATTTTCATTTTTGAAAAAGTCGTCTAAAAATTCTCAAAAAATTCAGGGTTATAGATCTTGGCGTGGTGATTCCAAAAATATGACGCGTTTAGGGTGACAGAGAAATACTTTCGAAATATTCGGAGCGAAATACGAATTTTTTGGAATTTTTAAAAATTACGATATGTATTTCAATGGCCGATTCTAGAAAAACGCTTAGAGTTATAGAAGAACGAGGCCGGGAATAACTCCTGTGGCCCGAAATCTACACGAAAAGTATCTAGTTAAATTTCGCAAATGGTCAAAAATGCCTGGAAATTTGCATAAGGGTTGAAAATTTCATGTTTGAAAAAGTCGTCTAAAAATTCTCAAAAAATTCAGGGTTATAGATCTTGGAGTGGTGATTCCAAAAATGTGGCGCGTTTAGGGTGACAGAGAAATATTTTCGAAATTTTCGGAACGAAATACGAATTTTTTGGAATTTTTAAAAATTACGATATGTATTTCAATGGCCGATTCTAGAAAAACGCTTAGAGTGTTCGAAGAACAAGGCCGGGAGTAACTCCTGTGGCCCGAAATCTACACGAAATGTATTTAGTTAAATTTCGAAAATATGTAGTCAAAAATGCCTGGAAATTTGCATAAGGGTTGAAAATTTCATGTTTGAAAAAGTCGTCTAAAAATTCTCAAAAAATTCAGGGTTATAGATCTTGGCGTGGTGATTCCAAAAATATGGCGTGTTTAGGGTGACAGAGAAATACTTTCGAAATATTCGGAGCGAAATACGAATTTTTTGGAATTTTTAAAAATTACGATATCTATTTCAATGGCCGATTCTGGAAAAACGCTTAGAGTTATAGAAGAAATGAGGCCGGAAGTGACATCTGCGGCCTGAAATCTACAAAAATATGTATTTAGTTAAGTTTCAAAAATGGGCCGAAATTTGAAGAAGGGTGGACCATCGGAAAAATTTCACTTTTAAAAAAGTTATCTAAAAATTCTAAAAAAATTCAGGGACGTAGATATCGGGTGTTTATATTCACCGAGCAACATTTTGGAAATATTCGGTTCTAAAATATATTTTTTTTAAATTCCAAAAATCGCGATATTTCAATGGGGGATTCTGGAAAAACCGTGTGCTAACGAAGAAACAAGACCGGAAATGACTTCTAGAGCTCGAAAACTATACGAAAATGTGTTTAGTTATGTTTCAAAAATGTAAAAAATTGTCTAGAAATTCTCAAAAAATTCAGGAATGTAGAGGTGCTGATTCCAAAAATTTAGCGTGTTCATGTTCACCGCCCAATATTTTCGAAATGTTCGGTTTTATATTAAAATATTTTAATAATTCGTTCTTAATTTCGTCCGATATTTCAGTGGCCGATTCTGGAAAAACTGTTGGAATTATCAAAGATACGATATCAGAAGTGGGTTCTAGAGCTCGAAATCTACCAGAAAATGTACATATTTAGTTAAGTTTCGAAAATGGTGAACAATGGCTCGAAATCTGAGGAATGAAAATTTTCACTGTTTAAAAAGTTGTTTAAAAATTCTCAAAAAATTCAGAGATGTAGATCTCGACATGCTAATTCCAAAAATATGACGTGTTGATGGTCACGGAGCAACATTTTCGAAAGAATCGGTACGAAATGCGAATTTTTGAAAATTTCTAAAAATTTGGATATTTCAAGGGACGATTCTGGAAAAACTGTTGGGAGTTATCAAAGATACGATGTCAAAACTGGTTCTAGAGCTCGAAATCTACAAGAAAATGTATTTAGTTAGGTTTCGAATATGTCAAAAATTGACCGAAATTTGAAGAAGCGGGGGGACCATTGAAAAAAATTGACTTTTAAAAAAGTTATCTAAAAATTGTGAAAAAATTCAGGAACGTAGATCTCGACATGCTGATTCCAAAAATATAGCGTGTTAATAGTCACGGAGCAACATTTTCGAAATGTGGGCGGGGGCACTTTGAAGTTTTTCGAACATTTTACAAATAAAATTCAATCTTCATCTCACAGAAAATAAAATAAACCAATGAAATTCAAAAGTGGAGGTGCGTGGGATTAGTTCTACCTTTTTTGTTTGGATTTCACTATTTAGTAATATAAAATCGACTATTCGTCCAATAAAATGAGTGAATGAGATGAAAACCGGGTGGGTGGGCGGGGCCACTTTGAAGTTTTTTTCAATCGCAGATTCGAACACTTGACAAAATAAAATTCCATCTTCATTTCACAGGTATTTATCAATATAAAATCTAGTTTTTGTTCAATGAAGTAAGCTAATGAAATTCAAAAGTGGAAGTGGGTGGGACTTGTTGTACATTTTTCGTTTAGATTTTACTATTTTTCAATATAAAATCCACTTTTCGACCAATAAAATGAGTGATCGAGAAGAAAACCGGGTGGGTGGGCGGAGCCACTTTGAAGTTTTTTTCAATCACAGATTCGAACACTTGACAAAATAAAATTCCATCTTCATTTCACAGGTATTTATCAATATAAAATCTAGTTTTTGTTCAATGAAGTAAGCCAATGAAATTCAAAAGTGGAAGTGGGTTGGATTAGTTTTACTTTTTTCGTTTAGATTTTACTATTTATCAATATAAAATCCACTTTTCGACTAATAAAATGAGTGATCGAGAAGAAAACCGGGTAGGTGGGCGGGGCTAGTTTGAAGTTTTTTTCAATCACAGATTCGAACACTTGACAAAATAAAATTCCATCTTCATTTCACAGGTATTTATCTATATAAAATCTAGTTTTTTTTTCAATGAAGCAAGCTAATGAAATTCAAAAGTGGAAGTGGGTGGGATTAGTTTTACTTT